GACTAGCTACCCTTCTGGATTTAACACCCTAGTGCAAAATCCATTAAACTTGCTATAACGAATGAATAACTTCACGAACCTCCTCTATTATAACTAATGCTGCCCTTACTACTACTAAGTAAAGGAGGAAAATAATAAATAGCCAAAACGCATATAATGCTATAGATAGGAATAATTTAACTACCCTATTATAAGATGTAATAAGTATCTATAAGATAAGCGTAAATGCTAATGGTTTCCTTACTATAATACTACTATAAATTAAGTATACTTAATAACGTGTTTATAAGTAAGCTATAAATATAAGTAAGCTATAAACCCCACTGTAATGGGGGTCGCTTGGCTTGGGGCTGAGCTAACCTTGAACGGGGTTCTGGTAAGAAATGAGGGCTTTAGGAAGCGGTATAGTTGCGTTGGGTTGATGCGTCAATCAACTATGGTGAGGTTGTATTGCCAAAACGTTACGAGTAATCTTTCCTATAAGGAAACTAGATGCAATAACTGTATCGTGGATTGATGATGATGGATTACCGTAGGAATCCGTCATCTCTATATACTGCTATCGGACCTGGCTCTATAGGCTCTGCCTCGCAGAGCCCGTAGGGCCGGCTCTGTAGGCTCTGCACCACAGAGCCCGCAGAGCCGTCACGTGACCTCATCACGTGCCCTGATGCTTACGTGTCCATGTTATGGTAAGCATCGTCGCCATAAGCGACGTTGCCCTGGTCGAAACCCCAGTCATCGTCATCGCTGTCATCGTAATTATCCTGCAGGTCATTCTGTTGCGGCGTAGCCGTAACACCCACTAAGTCTCTATATAAGGTCTTGTGACGTGAAACGCCATTGGGCAGCCCCTCTGCGGAGCTCCCTTGTATGTCAGAAGTAAAGCAGACAAAAGAAGCACGAGATTGGATCAAACAGAAAGATGACCCAGAACCAGAGCTTGATGGGATCTGTGCAAGAGTCACAACAAAAGGTGAATACAAAGACGCCGGGAAATGGTTCCTAGAAGACCCCACCTACTGCCTTTGGCGCAAGAGATTTCTGGAACACAAGCAAAACGTCGACATGTCGAAAATTGCAGCCTCGCTTATCCAAGTTCACGATAACGTATGCCTCCACGACCAAAGAGCGGGAAGTTTATGTTGCATTTTCGTGCCGCTTGTAACATCGAGTACGGTTACCTAGGGTTGCGTTCAAGGGAAGTCGTCGGGTCTGTCATCCTGGAAAGCTATTGGTAGTTAATCAACAAAGGATTGAGCAAATAGCCTCGTGCACTCGCTACCCCAACCTGGCTTTACCGTAGGCGAACAGGTTCAGAACTGAACCCGTGTCTTGGCGACCTCCTTATGGGCAATCAACTAGACCCAAGTGATGACCGCTACGGATCAAAACCTCAGCATTTACAGTAACTTACACAGGTGAAATAAAATTCGCAACAGGGAACATCGCATCACCAACAGCTTGTCACCATAAGTCAGCAGCGATCGTCGCTATAGTTGACGTACGCAAGTTCCCCGATCTTCGCCTCCAAGCCATCGCGCAACCACCCTGTACGTCAACACATCGACGCCCTTCCTGCCGTCGGAAGGTGGAGTAGCTCTCGTCGAAAGGTGGACTCCTACAAATGAGTGGTGGACAAAAGGACAGACAGCAGTGCCTCAAGGTTCCCATGATGTAATATAAGTGATTTGCCAAACTGCTCTGAAGGCCATCCAGTCCTCTCAGTTTGATTAGTCCACGAACACTATGTATTCCACTACCTTTCTTGATACCAGTGTCTAGCAGAGCGGAAAACGAGCCACCTACTATCTTGACCTAGATATTGCGATTTACTTTGGAATTATTTGCCTTCCCATCTATGAAACCACATTTCTAGTTTTCACTTTAATGTGCATGTCATCAACAGGGCGCATAGCTGCCGGAGAGGGAAGGTTGATCTCAACTGGGGGGACTTGAGGGTTGGGTATCGTGGTGCCCTCGGCATCGGCAACTTGGAGGTCGAACCTTCGCAGGAGTTGGGCAATGAATAGATAGGTCTCCCTCTGTGCAAAGTAGCGCCCGGGGCAGTATGTGTGGCCGCCACCAAACGGCGTGAAACCTCTGGAGCGTGCTAAGTCCTTTCGCTTCAACCATCTATCCGCTCTGAAGGTACCTGCATCCTCCCCAAAGAAGTGGCCGTCAAGCTGCCAGTTGCGCACCGGTCCAAATATCTGGTCGTCTTTGTGGATGATCTTATTGCCAATGTAACAATCGGCTGTTGCTTTGCGCACAGCTGTCGATGCGTTGTACAGGCGCAACGCCTCGTTCCAGGTACCGTCGAGGCTTGGGCACTGTGACAACAGCTTGTCGAGGCCGACCGCGCCTTTGCCGTCGAAACACGCGTCGATCTCGGAGCGAACAGCAGTGAACAATTCCTGGTTGCAAAGCATATGGCTGATCATCCAGAAGCAGATGTAATGCGCGTTGTTATTGATACTGTGCGATTCAGTGTTTGCAATTCCGTATTGGCGACAGTGTACTTACGCCCAAACAATCATCATGACCATACCTGCTCTATCCGTCGAAGAGAAGCCTATGGCTTCTAGCTCGCTGTTCATAACCCCGAAGAGCCAGCAAGGCTTCCTTGCTTCGTGGGGCAGTTGATAATACCGTGCCAGCGTGTCAATTGCTCGGATTCTTGCATCGTGCAGATCTTTTGCAAGAATGTAAGGATAGTTGTAGAAAACCTTCCAGCTATCGTCCTCCCACGTCTGGTAAATCTTCGCAAAATCTGGTTCGAGCTCAAAAAGCGTCTCATCAAAGAAAGCACGGAAGGAGCAATGTGAGAGGATATGGCGTGTAAATCTACCGAGAGAGACGGTTACCTCAGAATCCGATTGGTGGCTTGTGACAAAGTGCCCCTGGAACTTTTCTAAATGCATGACACGATCCAAGTGGTATGAGTAATCATCCTGGAGCTGGGTGAGACTTGCACCCGGAAGAAGCTGTTTCTTGAACCAGTCGCTTTGGAGATGCATATAGCACTTTTGACGCGGATTATCGGAGACGAGCAGGGAATGGCTGTAGGAATGTGGAATGAACGAGCTGGGATCAGCCTGAAAGCTCCTGTCCACATTTTTCTTAGAAATGCCGAAAGCGGTCATCATGCGGGACACAAAGGGGTCATAACTGAGCTAAGTGGTGTTCTTCCAAACCGCGGCCAAGTCCGCCGTGTCAGTAACAACTATCGTTGTCCCTCCAGCAATGGTGAGAGCATAAACGTCTTTTGTTCCAAAGTGCCGACTGATATTGTGTCAGAAATGCTGAACACGCTTCGGGAGTCGAAACGAACCTGCCCTGAGCGTACACCTTCTCTGCGCACCGCATGAATGATATCGTATGTCCCAGCCATGGTACATAGTAGGGAAGTTGCGGAGGTTCATGAGGATATAGTTTGGCAGATACGTAGAATCTCCATAGGTACCATGTCATCCACGCCAGCAGTGAGCCGAGTAGCAGCATGCTCCATGGTTCGGAGAACGAGCGCTGAATATGCGAAGACACGGTCGAGAGGAGACCTTCGGCCGTCATGGTGTCTTAGACTTTACAAAATCTCTGGGTGTCTGTAAGAATCGCAACGCTGACGAAGAGGTTGTAATTAGATAGATCGCAGACCTCTAAAGATCCTGATTTAACCGGCCCGAGACCGGTTCCAGACTTGGACATGTTTCGGACTTGTTTTGGCAAATTCGCGGTAACCTTCAAGAACGTCATGGCAGTCGACAGGGGCCACTGCATATGAGGTGGTATTATGGTGGCGGAGGTGCGCTTGCAGGAATGCCAAGACTGTACCTGTACCGAGACAGTGGTTGCAGGCGTAAGCAAGGGCAGAGGGGCTCCGGCGCATGGGTAAACTCGTCGTACTGGTGGCAAGTTTAACCCGAGGCTAGCCCACAGACACTGTGCCACCTGTAGATCGAGACAGTATGATTTGATTCGTTGATATGCTCGGAGATAGATCAATAACCAGTAATCCACTCTGGCCCCCATGTTCATGTGAACTGGATGCACAGTTAGCTCGACCCCTGTTAACGGCATCCTCGCACGGAACAAATGGCCTTAGAGTTCTGGTCCACGACGCACGTCAGATGTAGCAGTGTAAGGCTGAATGTTCACCCGCGTGATGCACTCAGCTGCAGACGCGCCACATAAGCAGCAGTGTCGTGCTAGCGCTGCGGCACATACCTCATAGTTTTGCAAGAGCAAGGGTTGCTAGGCAAACGCTTCTTTGGTTGTGCCACTTGCTACTGTGCCCAGGCAGGTGCCACTGACACCACGTGACTGGGCGATGGGCGATGACCTCAGACCTGTCGACCCTCCAGACAGCAATCACCTTTCTTGGACCACTTCTCGACCACTTTTCCCCGTCTTCTTCTCCCCGCCCCCACACATCTACGCCCCATGCCACAATGGCTCCTTCTACTCCAGCTTGGGCCGACGGTCCGTTGCCCTTGATCCAGACGCCATCTGCCACCAAAGACACAGTGAGACTAGCAACACATCTGAGCTGCTTCGCACGACTGACTACAGAATAGAACGACCACCCTGCACACTACATCGCCAATGAAATGGCCTGGGCCCACAATGCCATGCTACGCGGCCTCAACGCCATCTACCTGCAAGCTCCCCACGTCCAGCAAGGCGACGCGGCAGACTTTCTCTTCTTCATTGCCTCATGGTCCGCCTGGGTCTTGCACCACCACACCATCGAGGAGAAGCAGATGTTTCCAGGCTTCGAGGCTGTGCCGGGCGTTGCCCCGGGCTCACTCTCGCACAACGTTGAGCAGCATCACGAGTTCTCCGAGGGTCTGTCCGGCTTGCAGAAGTATGCTACTGCCACCACCGCGGATTCATACTCAGGCGCACACGTCCAAAAGTTGGTGGATGGATTCTCCCCGATATTGCGACAGCATCTGGCCGACGAAATCGACACACTGTGGGCCATGGACTCGGTCGCAGCCAACACGGAGCACAGCAAGAAGTTGCTCAACATCTATCAGCAGTGCGAGGCTGAGGCGGGCAAGCAGGACAAGTCGGTCGTGCCGCCAATGGTGCTGGGGCTGTGTGACAAGACCTTCGAGGGCGGCAACGACTGGCCCAAGATGCCCATGGGGTCTGCGTACTTTGTGCACTATCTGTTTGCGAGGAAGCACAGCAAGGCATGGAGATTTCTGCCGTGCGACACCTTTGGTAAACCACGGCCGCTGGCGTTTCTGGGCAATAATGGTGCTGGCAAGTGAGTGAAGGAGCAAACCCTTGTCACAGCAAACCTTTGTAACAGCTCAAATCACGTGGTATGTAGCACACCGAGCTGCGGTCTTCACTAAGCCCCAAACATGAGAATTCAGGCTATCACATTAGTATCTGCGCCAAGCTAGTACGTGCACACTGATTGGCAGAGCCTGAGGAACAGAGCCTGAATGTCGGCTTGACGTCCTGTAGCTGAAGCGCCACCGTATGTTATGACTCTCTTGTCTAGCGCTCTTATCTTATTGACTTGAGTTCCTCTGTTGCAATTTTCAGCATCACTGTTGTCCTAAGATATATGCATAATCCACCTGAGCCCTCAAGTGGGTTTTCGACCAATCACCGTCCTCGCATCCATCCTACCCCTGCCTAGCGCCTCGCCTCATCAAAATTCAGTATTATCTCGCCTTCCTACTTCTATAAGCACTAAGAAGATATAAGATCTACTAGTAGGCCCGAATACGTGTTCCTGCTAGTAGGCCCGAATACGCGTTCCTACTGGTAGGTGTGACGGCCTAGCATACCAGTAGGTTATATGACCTCGCGCTTAGGCGCGACTGCCTTATGCGACTTTGTACGATATTGCTACCTAGAGTGGAAGGTTATTCCGCGCGGCAACTACGCATAAATACAAGCCAGCCCTCTATACCTATTGTCTCCTCATCTTAGTGTAGCTGAAATAGAGCTAACTTACCTCATTAACTACCCTTAATGTAGGAGACTGCATTCGTCCTTATAGTAGGCCTGAATACGCGTTCCTACTAGTAGGCCCAAATATATATTCCTATAGTCGCGTTCGTGTCGCGTCTCTAGGCTAGTAAATACCTAATAGTAAATAGGAGGCGCGCCTTTAGTATAAAGCCTATATCCTATT